TCTTGAGGCCTTCATTTCCTCGGTAAGGCGTTGCCCTTCCGCAAATCTGTGAGGATATAACCTGATGTCCTCCTTGACCAGTCCATGCATGGTTGAATTGCTCACTACGTGTTCCTTGGCCAACTTTCTCATGCTTTCATGCTTCTTTCAGGATTTCGGCACAGTTTGTCTTTGGCGGCCTTTCGAAAAGCAGAGGTCCTGACAGTTCGTTTTGGTCTTCCTCTTGGACGATTTTTAATCTTTCAAGTCTCTTCGAATCGCCTTATGACGCGATGTACTTGCTCTCGATGGAGTTTGAGCTTCTATGAAATCTCGGAAACTGACGATCCGCGTTTGTACATCGCGACTACTGCTGAGCGATCTTCAATCGAAACCATCTTGACCAAGGAATGACAAAGAAGACTGCCCGCAACAGCTTCAAAACCCAGAAAATCAAATAATCTTATAATATAGCGAAAGAAAAAACAAGAAGCCCAAAAATTGATTTTTCATTGCCCGTCACACTCCATGTGTCACTCTGTATAATTCAAATCCCGAAATCCTTGCACGGTTCAACCGTGCCCATCTCGAGATTGCAGTCGGCTGTACCGCGGGTGTAATCCAGGACTATAAAATCGGACGTTTTCACTCAGAAGTGATCGTTCTTTTCAGAACCACGCGACGTGTGCGGCGTGATATGGTCGACGATAGAGTCTCACGTTCCTCCTAGAGCAGACATGACATTAAAGGCACCGTTCGCGATAATTCAATGGGCGGGTATGCCAATGACGTGTCCGTCCCTCATTGGATGTCAGACAGTCTGACGTGACATCGAATGAGAGGCGCACACTTCATTGACATACCCGCCCATTGAGTTATCGCGAACTGTGCCTTTAAGGGAAACTGGAAAGCGCAAGAAAGTGGACACAGCGAAATCTCAAATCGACGGTCCTATTGCAAAGCGTTTCCGGTTATGCACCTGTAGTTACAGCTGGCTCTCTTTACGGGCTGCTCTCAGAGGTCAGCGGTGTGCCTTCCGTGTAGTTACAGCTGTCCTCCCTTTAAAAGCTGCTTTCAGATTCGCCGGTGGGCCTTTCGAGCGCGCGCGCGTCCCACCAACGGTGTTGCTGGCTGTGTTGATAAAACTGGACGCCATTGGGTCACGTGCCAGTGCTGCCAACGAGTTGCTAGCGCCACCGTCGGCCGGATGCGCGTTTGGAAGGCACACCGGCGAACTTTGAAAGCTGTTATAGGGGTCAGCTTCGTTTATGCTCATCAAATCTGCCATCCTGATAGCTTTGTGCATTTTTAAACCACAAAGCCCGTTTGGTTCATCGTGGCGGATGGGACGTAACGTAGAGCTGCCGAAATTTCAGTATTCCTACTTAATTTGTCACTACTAAGTCTTACCTTTTTTACAACTTGGTGATTGATAATTGATCAAACCTCGTCCTCCATAGCAGCTTGCAAGAATACGAGGTTCTACGTGGCCGTACCAATGGCTGTTTTCAGACTTCAACGGCATCTTTCATAGTCCACGACCGGTCGCTAGCGACTGGCGACCAGTCGCGCGACNCGACCGGCGACCAGTCGCGCGATCGGTCGCCGGTCGTTCGTGAGATGGGTCCGCGACCAGTCGCGCGACTGGTCGCCAGTCGCGCGACCGGTCGTGGACTATGAAAGATGCCAACGACGCAACCGACGAAGCTCGTCCGACCGACGGTGTTGCTGGTTATATGTAGACAACGCTGAACGCCGATGGATCACGCGCCGGTGTTGTCAACAAGTGGCTAGTGCCGCCGTCGGTCGCAGATTGCGTCGTTGAAGTCTGAAAGCACCCACACCTATAACATTCACGTGTTGTCAAATTTACGCTGTGAAGATGTTAGTCGATAAATCGACTTATTTCGACCTGTTATGTAAATGATCGGTTATTCACAGCTTCGCTCTCTTCTGACGTACAGCTTCCAAACCCCAATGAAAGAGTAAAGACATGGCGGGAGTATAGCTGTAAATATAGCGAATGATAATGGTCAACTGATTCTGACCAGTAGCTATTTTCACTACTTGGGCATACTAACTACTCGTTTCTTCAAGCCCAAAAAAAGGAATAACAGACGTCTGTATGGTATCCCACCTCAATACAAAAAAAGAGAACCCGGCGCGAGCCGGCCGCTCCGACTAATTCCTGAGGATGTTTCATGATATATAGATGTCAATTTATTATTCTACCTTCACTTAAATAGCATGTATGTCGAGATTAACAAAGGGGTGCTTCGGAGTCAGTCAAAGGTCCAATCTCAAATTAATAGTCTTCTAGACGAGATTCTCGTGCTCCGACGCCATAGGAAATGGCCACCATGAGAAAAGCAGAGAGAAGCTGAAAGGCGAAATAGAGGAAGAAGAAGATAGCAAATGTTCGAAGAACGTATATAAGAAACCGCAAGAGTAGGAGTCAGATTTTAACATCCTGTGAACGTGTGGTACAGTGAACCCTCCATATACATCACCCAACACGTTGGCCTCAGCCAGGGTACCTTCTTATTGCCTTGTATTCGTAGCAGGTGTTTGGAGGCGCTTGAGTGTGTGTTCGGACTGTGCAAAACATTCACGGGAGTTGTAAATCCCTATTGTAAAAAGTCCAAGCAAGTGCAGTGTTTGAATAAGTGCTCCAGCGCGTAAGCCGCAGCGCAACCGCCTCCTCGTTAACGATGTCTAAATTCAAGTGAATTTGAATTAGATTACTTGTTTGCGCTTCTTCAGTTGAATAGTTATTGTTTGGTGTTTTTGAACTATTTTGTGGGTTCCAAATATTCAAACTCTTGAAGCATGAACGTCATACCTGGGTATCGATTTTTCCCCTATCCGTTATTTTCGGGAGTTTTGATCATTTTGATGCTTAGGAATCAGTATTGAATAGTCCTACTCGGAAGTATCATTCAGGTTCTCGAGTCAGTTGTACTCTACTTTTTAATGGATTGTCTCCGATCGGACGAGTTAGCAAAAAGCTTTGACGGGCTGAAGCCGTTTAGCGACGACCTCCGCGACGAAGTAAAAACGAGAGGAATTCATAAAGTATGCAAGGTGAGCTAATTCATGTGGTTAATTTGCATGATGACATTGAGCCATATTGAATATCTCTTTCCCGCCTTGTTAATCATTCAAACATCGGGCACAGTAACAAACACAATTGGTGAATTATGCATGGTAGAGTATGTATGTAAATATTAAAAGTTGTATGCGATTCTCTGAACGCTATCCGCTAGATTGCTATAAAGTCGAATTTTTGAACTTATAACAGCTTTGAACTTCTATTCAAATTCCTCTGCACCATTATCAGTTTAGCTGACAACAATGGGATCTCTCGGAAATTCTTGGCAACTCTGCCTGGCTCAGAAACTGACTGAGAAAACGATCATATTTCTTGACTTTGTTTCACCGCGACCTTGCACCCGCAAGCGAATGAGGAGTTCCATGTCAAAATAGGGGGAGACGGTAAAAGTTGCTTTTTTTCTCAGTAACGCCTCATTTAGAGCTTTCTTGAAGAAATCTGACCATCGCTCTGGCGCCATCTTGATGTTCGTTTGACGCCCCGAGGTATCCAGTCAATAACTGCCTTGGTCCAACGGTCGTCACGGTATCGCATAAGTGTCCACCTGATCTTCATTTTCTTGACGTAAACAATGGCATCCCTGATATTTGTTCGTTGATAGAGTTCGGAGGAGAGCGGATACTATGTATGCAGCGGCCGTGGATCTCCGCTCCCAAGTATTATTATTCCAAATAACGCGTGATATTCGAGAGGATACTCTGCATCGAAACGACTGGGCGAGATGGTATCTCCTGGCTGAACCTTCTCTTCACATTAACACCCTATGACTTCCTTATAATGTATGGTCCTCGCTTTTATTTTTTTACAGGTTCATATAGAACTCTTTCAGCTCCTGCCTTTTGTATGTAATTTGATGTTGGTGCATATCAGTCACCAGAGCTGGGATGGAGCCATAACTTCTCAATCGCGAACGTCCGGTTATCAAGCATTCCCACGAGTAGTTCTTTATGGCCTACTGCGCATTAGCTAGTGCACCTATACCGCCGACCCCTCTGCTGTCGCATATATTTTCGAGGAACATTTTTTCCTAGTTTCGAAGCAGCCGCAGCTGGCGTCGTCTCGGTCAGTCTGATGACGTCATACTTGGTCTTCCTGGCTTACCCATCAGATCTTCGATACACGCTCCCGACGCAAGCAATGTACATTGAAAGTTCAGGTCCAGGTCGTCATCTTACAATTGGTCCTTCCCATTATGAGCAGCTTTGTATGACCCTTTGATTTTAGCAGCTTCTCCCGAGCGGTTATACTCAAAGTTGCCGAATCGGGGTTACCTCAGGTTCCTAGGAGTAAGGCTCGTCTATTAGGTTGAGCGTTGCACAAAAAAATCTTCTATTGAACGAACCGTAATCAATAATATACACACGATTTTGTTCGATTATCTCTTGGCATCCCTCTAGTAATTTCATGTCTCCTCCTTCAATGAACATCCGGTTTTCTGGCTAAGAAGTCGGAGCTGATAACATTTGATATTCTCATCTTCAGTGAGGCTTTCCCAGTGAAGGAGTTCTACAACATCCGAAAAAAGTGGTATTTTTAACTAGTCGAGGTCAAAACCAACGTTTTGGTTCCTTCAGAGCACCTCATACTGCTATATCTCATCCTTGTAGTCCCACTTGGCATAACTTCGTTTGATGAAGATTAGCAATCGTTTGCGAGTAACGTTATTGTGAATATCCCGGCTTATCATCAGCCAGTATTCGCTTTATAAATGGATGGTCTTCATCGCGCTTGAAGCACAAATCGTAGACACCAACTCGCGACCTCAAATGAATCTTCCTCAGCTCGTGTGTCTCGTGAACATCCAGCTGATTTACCGGCCCAATTTTTCCGATGTTGTCGTTAACTATCCTAGGACGCGTTGATCTCCTCAGGATGCCCTATGCGTGTTACATGAAGATCGCCTCGGTCAATGCCATCACAAGATCATCAACCAAGCTTACTGAAAAATGAAAAATGGCTGCACAAACAGTCGTTAACCAGTTTTTATATATGCTATGTGATGAGGTGTTGTCACCGCTCCTTACCAAGGAAGGATCCCAAGTCGAAGTGGTCATCTTACTTACAGTACCGGTCAGTGAAGTATTCGTTTTCACTTTTCCAAACATAACTTCCCCAAAACTCAAGCTATGTGCTAGAAACTCAAACAGTAGAAAACTTAGGCAGTTAGTAATATTATACTGCTGTAATGGCCCAGCAGCACATTTCCAAGCAAAACTGGCGCTTTATTTTCAAATCGCCCGCCAACACACATTTCTACCTTCTATAACTGGTGGGTTTTTATATTAAAAATTTCGGGTGGTTCTTAATGTTTTGATCACGTCATGCACCCACTACGTTAGTTGGCTATGGCAAGGCATATCGGAATCCGTAACTTGCGGCAAGACCAAGTTGATGCCATAACTCGGAGCTCCCATGCAGGCTTAACATCAAGGCAAGTTTCAGAAATTCAAGGAGTGACAATTAGATGTGTTCAAAGGATTTGGAAGAAATATAAGGACACAGGGTCGGTAGAAGTCAAAAAACACCCAGGAGCAGCGAGAACGACGTCTCGTCTTGTGGACAGGAACATTGTGCGGCTTGCAAGGAACGATCCGCGTCTCACTGCAGCCGAGATTCTTCGCGAAATATCGACGCCCGAAGGACCTAACCCATCTTTGAGC